CCTTAGCCGGTTGAGCTATAGGCGCCGAGCCAAGGCTGTTTTTTCATTCCTCTTTCGCCCCTTACCCTGGAGAATGGTCTTCTTTCCAGTTTTCAGACCAGAACCTGGGTATTAGCGTTGGCTACCTCTTCTCCCTGTAACCAACCCCCAGTCTTGAAGTAAAATAAATAGGAATTATTAGTATCTTCCAAAATAACATAATTTTGTTCTGATAATAAAACTGCTGACAATACAGAAAGAAAGCATAAAACGTAAAATAAAGTTCATCTATAATAGTATCATCTAAAGACAACCACTATTAATATTTTGGTACATATGTGTAGATATGAATCTGTATGGTTATATAATGAGTATGCTCATGTGTATGTGTATCTTTTTCTTTAAAAGAGAAATCCTGGGCAGCACCTGTGGATCAGGGAGTAGGGCACTAGCCCCATATACTGAGGGCAGCAGGTTCAAACTCAGGTCTGGTCAAACTGCAACAACAAAAAAAAGTAGCTGGGCGTTGTGGCAGGCACTTGTAATCTCAGCTACTCCAGAGGCTGAGGCAAGAGAATGGCCTAAGCCCAAGAGCTAGACGTTGCTGTGAGCTGGAATGTCACAGCACTCTACTGAGGGCAACAAAGTGAGACTCTGTCTCTAAAAAAAAAAGGTGAAATCCTATTCAAAATAATAACTTTTTTTAATGTAGCAGTAGACCATGTATACTTTTCTGTAACTGAAATAAAGGTTTTCTGTCTTTCCCTACTGCTTTGCGTCCTCATCATACGTCCACTGGCCTGTACAATTGCATCCTAATTTGGTTTTCTGCTTATTAGTCTTTTCTTCCCCCAGCTTTTCCTGTACAGATTCTCAGAATAATCATTCCAAAGCGTAGATTTTGGCCAGGTGTGGTGGTTCATACCTATAATCCCAGCACTTTGGATGGCTGAGGTGGGAGGCCACTTGAGGCCAGGACTTAGAGACCAGCCTGGGCAACATGGCAAGACTCTCACCTCTACAGGAAATTTTAATTATATGAGTATAGTGGTGGGCACCTATACTCACTATACTCACTCAGGAGACTGAGATGCAAGTATCCCATGAGCTGCAGTGAGCTGTGACCTGCCATTGCACTCCAGCCTGGGCCACAGGGAGAGACTCTATCTCTAAAATGCAGATTTTTGAAAAAGAACAAATTCACAATTCACAAAAAGGAAACAAAGTTGCAAATAAACACAAGGGGGAAAGAAAGATTTAAAAAAGTCCTCAGTTAGAAGGCCAAGTATGGTGACATACGCCTGTAATCCTAGCACTCTGGGAGGCCAAGGCAGATGGATCCCCTGAGCTCCGGTTCGAGACCAGTCTGAGCAAGAGTGACACCCCGTCTCTAAAAATAGCCGGATGTTGTGGCAGGCACCTATAGTCCCAGCTACTCAGGAGGCTAAGGCAAGAGAATTGCTTGAGCCCAAGAGTTTGAGGTTGCTGTGAGCTATGACAGCACAGCACTCTACCAAGGGCAACAAAGTAAGACTCTGTCTCTAAAAGAAAAAAAGAAAATCCCCAGCTAAATTAACATGATTTTCAAAATGACGGTATTAGCAGAACTTTTCTAAAGGTTAATATATTTCAAAACATTTTCTAGTGTTTTGTTTTCTTTTTGAGACAGAGTCTTTTAAGCAGTTGCCCAGAGTAGAGTGCCATGGCATCATCATAGCTCACCATAGCAACCTCCAATTCTCAGGCTCAAGCTATCCTCTTGACTCAGTTTTTCTATTTTTTATTTTTATTAATTTTTTTTAAGTGGAGACGGGGGTTTGCTCTTGCTCAGTCTTTTTAATGGGTGCAATGCACATAATTGAGCGATGGATACACTGAAAGCCCAGACTTCACCACTATGCAATTTATCCTTGTAACAAAAATGCATTTTTACTCCTTAATTTTGTAC